AACGTGACGTCCTGGGAGGACAGAACACGACGAGAGGAGGGGTGGTAAAACTGCCACCCTGGGGCGTCAGTGGGGAAGCCAAGGAAGACACAGGGAGCAGCACGAGGGGACAGCTTGTCCGCAGACAAGTCGCGGACAAACGCCCGAGATCCCCAGACACGGAACACAGACGCATCGCCAACCTTCCCCGTCCACAGCAAGGCTGGGGACATCGCAGGCCGAGAGACCCGGGGGTGAAGGTTGAGCTGATGCGCCGCGTACCTCACCGCAAACGGCCACAGAAAATGGGGGGCAGCCGCATGCATCATGGACGTACGAGCGACATCCATGACCATGCCAATGCGGCGCTCAGCAATCCCATTTTGCTGTGGTGAGTCCGGAAGCGTGAAGGTCTGGCGGATCCCCCGTGCACGACAGTAGTCTCGCAGAAGGCGAGAAGAGAACTCTCCGCCTCTGTCAGAGTGCAGACGCAGAACAGGAAAGTCCGAGCCGAAGCTCTTCCTGAGCTGGAGACGAGCCTCGCGGATCCAGTCGATCAGCACCTCAGTGACCTCACCCTTGCTGCGCAAGGGGAGGACTGTGGTGTAACGCGAGTAGTCGTCAACCACCAACAGGAAGTAGCGCTCGTAACCCTGCCCACGGACGGGGGCTGGGCCCCACACATCCATGTGAAGCGTCTGCAGGGGAGCCTCTGTCGGGGGGAAGTGGGAGGAGTGAGGAGTAGCCCGGAGGCGACCCTCGACACAGGGGACACAGGAAGGTCCTGGCCCGGAGGGGAGAGGAGGGAGAGACTGGGGAAGACCAGAGACAAGGACACGGGAAGCCATGCTCCGAAGACGGGGCAAGGAGGGGTGACCAAGACGGTGGTGCCACAGGAGAGTCTCGTGAGACAGGAGGCGACAAGTACAGGGGGCAGACTCAGGACCAGACCTGGACGCAGCAGCAAACACCTGACCCGACGCTGCTACCTGACTGGACGCGGGGACAGGAGGAGACTCAGTGGTCAGGGTGTAGAGGCTCGACCCCGGCCGACGCGAGAACGTGGCCAGGTGCCGGCCTGTGCGTGCGTCTGTGCAGTGGGTCACCCGCTGACTCGCAGGAGTGAACTGGTGAACCCCCGCATCCTGTAGGTCTGCACCACTCACCAAGTTCGTCGAGAACGAGGGGAGGTACAGGCCAGACAGGGTGCCCGAGGGGGCAGCCGGACACGGGAGGACAGTGGAGAAGTGAGCGAGGACAGGACCCCCAGAGGGGTCAGCCAGGGAGACTGCAACCGGCCGACCAAGCGGCGTGAGTGTGGTGCGGTCCCGAAAGAAGGAGCGAGAAGCCCCAGAGTCAAGTGTAAAGGTGAGGGAGGCCGAAGCCAACGCGGTACCTGAGAGCGCAGCCTCACCCGCACCTGAGGAAGCAGACTCACTAGCACCTAGAGCAGCAGCCTCACCAGTAGCTAGAGCAGCAGGTCCTATACCTGGGTCAGGCGGGACGCACAGGTGACCGGCACTGTCAGCACTAGTAGGCAATGCATACATGGCAGTGAGAATAGCATCATAGTCAAGAGCATATATATCCACCCTCTGCCTAAGTAACTCCACCCAGTCGGGAAGCTCAGCCTCGTCGCCAAACACGGTACGCCAGGCGTCGCTCAGACGGGCGAAGCAGCGGGACGGTGTATGACTACGTGTCCCACAAGGCTGACCAGTCCGAGTACCAGTGCGAATCACGTAAGAGCAGCGAACAGCAGTGAGAGACCCTCCACTCTGAGCGTACCACTCACGAAGCTGGCGAGGCGTGAGAGACACGCGAGAGGGTCGCGGGAGCTGCATCTGGCCGCCACCACGAGTAGAAGCAGCAGGAGTGGTAGTAGGAGTAGCGTCGCCACCCCTACAGCCCCAACCAGCGTACCACTCACGCAGCTGCTGGGGCGTGAGGGACTCACGCCGGCGTCGCTGGGGTTGCATGTGGCTCCGCAAGTAGAAGCAGGAGCAGGACTAGCAGCAGGGAGGCAGGCAGCCAGGCAAGCCAAAAGGCAGGCAGGCAGGCAAGCAGGCGACGCGCAGTGTGCTAGCAGGGCAAGAGCTCACCAGTGGTGGGAAGAGTAGGCTCGGCGACCCAGCGGCTCGGCAGTTCGGCGGCTCGGCGGCTCGGGCGACTCGGGCGGCTCGGCGGCAAGGCGGTTCAGCAGCAACTGCAGCTCAGCAGCTCGGTGACTCGGCGGCTTGGCGGCAGGGCGGCTCGGCAGCAACTGCAGCTCAGCAGCTCAGCGACCCGGCGGCTCGGCGGCAGGGCGGCTCGGCTGTGGGGCGGCTCGGCTGCTGCAGGTGAGCGGCTCGGCTGCTGCAGTGGGAGATGAAGGAGGAGGAGAAGCAGGGGAGGCCACACACCTGCCACCCCCCTCAGGTCGCCTCGACAGGCGACGGGAAAAGGGGGGGTGGGTGGTGGGGGGCCGGTAGGTGCAGCGGCGGGGCCAGCAGGTGCAGTTGCGGGGCCGGTAGAAGGGGACGGCAGGAGCCGTCAGGAGGGGACGGCGGGGCCGTCAAGAAGGGACGGCGGGGCCGTCACGAAGGGACGGCGGGGCCGTCAGGAGGTGACCGGGCCGCGACGGGGGCAGGCGGCGGGGCCGCGTAAGGGCCTGGGCGGGGCCGCGACAGAGCCGTCGGCGGGGCCGCGTGAAAGCCGGGGCGGGGCCGCGTAGAAGCCGGGGCGGGGCCGCGCGAGAGCAGACGGCGGGGCCGCGAAGGAGCCGGGGCGGGGCCGCGGGAGAGCAGGCGGCGGAGCCGCGTAAGGGCCTGGGCGGGGCCGCGACAAAGCCGTCGGCGGGGCCGCGTGAAAGCCGGGGCGGGGCCGCGTAGAAGCCGGGGCGGGGCCGCGTGAGAGCAGGCGGCGGGGCCGCGACAGAGAGGGCGGCGGGGCCGCGTCAGTGAAGGCGGCGGGGCCGCAGGGGAAATGGCGACCCGAGGGGTCGCTAAAAAAAGATCGCGCCTCGGGGGGCGCTTCGGTGGGCCCAAAAAAAAAAAAAAAACCGGTCCGTAGAAGGACCCGCTCTATACCATGTGAGAATAAGCGAACAGGAATGAATGAACTAGCAGTGAAATGAGTACAAGTAGGAAACCCTAGAATTGTGTACCCCCTATAGGCTAACCCACTGTAGCCTACACAAGCATAACATTTATAATGTTTGACATTGATTTGGTCTGGGAAGCCGCGATTCGAGATTTGGCGTTGTAGGTTTCCCGCGTAGATTGGAACCGAGTGAAATTCATGCACGTGGTATGTTCTAATTCGTCGATGCAATGAATGAATAAATGTGATAGACTTTAGCCGTACACTTCTTTTTCTGATGCCGATAAACGAAGACTTCATTTATGATAATATCGAGCTCAATTGTTACTTAAACCATGTGAACGTATCATAATATTAATTGGTATTGATATACGAAGTGTACGTTTCTGGGTCAAAAAAAAAATATTTTTAAATCCTCATAAATAATGACAATTTCAAATTAACGGTACACGAAATTGCAACCCGAAATTATGAATCACAACGCAATATAACAATTTTACATGTGCTGCACTAATAAGCCCAACAATGGGATTATTTAGGGAAACGGTTATTTGACATAAGACACGAATCCCACCAGCCTAGCTTGCACAACCTTGCGAAGGTATTCCTGACTGGCCTTCTGGATGAACGACTGTATTGGGAGAAAACAGAAGGGTGAGGAGGGTGTGGGGGAAAGCCGTAGGCACAGGAGGGGAAATCATTGGGGGTAGTCTGGAGCATGAGAGAGAAAACCAGAGATGGTGCAGTCACACTCGGTAGCAGTAGCGCTACTCCCGGCGACAGATACGCATCTGTCGCCGCCACTCTCGGCGGCAGAGCTGAAGGCACGAGGACATGGCTGCGGCGACCCATCGTCCGCACGCATTTACGCGACGAGGTGCAGTCGAGTGAGTTACGACAATGAAGTGTCGTAGAACCGTGGCGACGCTTTCTGGAATAGGGACTAGAAGGGAACGCGAAGAACGGTTAACGAAAAAACGAGTGAGAATCTGCAAAGCAGGAAACAACAAAGGCAATAAAACCCGTCGTAAAGAGGCACAAAAGCGCTGAAAATACGAGCCGAAGCATTGAACAGGTACGACGGATAGGACGTCGGCGTAACAAAAAGGCCAATAGGAACAGCAAGAATGCTTGATACGAAAATTCCAAACAACGATGAAATAACAATGGAACTTATCAGCGCACCTCTCAGCGAAATTCCAGAATCATCTGCAAACACACTTGCATCGGTTCACACACTGTCAATGTTGCGCAGGAAGACCAACAGTTGGCAGCAAGGGCGAAATAATAGAAGCAGAAGACTGAAGACTAAGGACCCGAGACACAGCCATCGAACACCAAAGGCAAGGTGACTGAAAACCAACGGGTGTAAATCTAGAGGAAGAGGGAGCACAAGATGGCTCTCTGTCGTCAAGGAATGACTGTGGCTTGGGGCAGTTGAGCGCAATGCCTTGCATTGCTGTCATTTTGTCGTTTCGTGGTTAGTTTCATGTTCAAACCTTTTTTTTCACAACTGTACTGGGAAGAAACAAGTACTGATTTCGAGAAAAGCAGAGGTGCAACGCACGGTGGAATGAAGTACAGTGGAATCTGGTGGGGGGAAAAAAAAAAACAAAGCTTCACCCAACAATCGCGCGTGCAGCAAAACGTTCAAATGCGACAAACTACCCAATCAGCAGCAGCTTTCGCGAAAATTCGAGAATCGAGTCGAATCCCGCGAAAGCACAAGTTGCAACGACTGTGCAGCACGCGACAAGCGACGCGCCTGTCACATGCTGTAATGACCAAAAGCCGAGGTACCTTCTATCTGCCCGTAGAGTTGTTTATTTCTCTACAGTGTTGTCATATCGCGCTTCCCCAGAAACAGCGACACAATTTTCCAAACATTCTCCTTAACCGAAGGATACCAGAACAGTTGCACAAAATCTTGGAATAAAATAATGCAAGTGACACGTCACCCTTGTACTAGTGTACAGTCCCACACATATCGTTGCTGGCAGCCAGTTGTACATCCGCCGCACTGAAAACCGAAAACCGGTCCCATGGTGACAGCATTTCCCACTTGTCAAACACCTGCGCTTTGCTGTTCCTCTTCCCCAGAATAGGACGAGAAGAATGCAATGCGTGAGTGTCAGATGCAGTTGAACACTAACTTTCATACAACCTGGTTGTCAGAATATATTTGCTGTCTAGCCTGCAGTGGGGTACTCTGTAATGAGTACAACCCAATTTAGGGCAATGTACTTGTATCCCAACTCTTGCTAGTCACTTCACTTCCCTTCCAATTTCTCGACTCTCACCTAACCCACTCGAACTTACCTATCTCCTAGTGTGGGCCTAGGCTACTAAGTCTAGGCCCCACACCTAATATTTTCACATGTTATCAGAGCCCGTTCTACCTTGGCCTGTGGGCCCCTATGCTTCCGCTGCAGTCCTTCTTCCTGCCGTGCGCTCGGGGCGCGCGGCGGTTTTCCCGTCCTTCGAAGCGCCCTCGGGGGGCCTGCGCGCTGCCCTCCCCGCTGCTCGTCGCGACGCCCGTGCGGGACCCGCGCGGCGTCACCCTGCTCGTCGCGACGTCCGTGCGGGACCCGCGGGGCGTCGCCCCTGCTCGTCGCGACGTCCGTGTGGGACCCGCGCGGCGCCGCCCTACTTGTCGCGATGTCCGTGCGGGACCCGCGGGGCGTCGCCCCTGCTCGTCGCGACGTCCGTGCGGGACCCGCGGGGCGTCGCCCCTGCTCGTCGCGACGCCCCATGCGGGACCTGCGGGGCGCCGTCAGTTCCTGCAGCAGCAGCCGCCGCCGCCCTGCAGCAGCAGCCGCCGCCAGGCCTACAGCAGCAGCCGCCGCCAGGGTCTGCAGCAGCAGCCGCCGCCAGAGCCTGCTGCAGCAGCCGCCGCCAGGGTCTTCAGCAGCAGCCGCCGCCAGGGTCTGCAGCAGCAGCCGCCGCCAGAGCCTGCAGCAGCAGCCGCCGCCAGAGCCTGCAGCAGCAGCCGCCGCCAGAGTCTACAGCAGCAGCCGCCGCCAGAGTCTGCAGCAGCAGCCGCCGCCAGACCTGCAGCAGCTGCCGCCACCGACCCAGCAGCAGCAGCCGCCGCTCTATCAGCAGCAGCAGCCGCCGCCGCTCTGCCGCAGCAGCTACCGCCGCCCAGCTGCAGGTGCCGCCCCTGGACCCCAGAAGCCGCCCCTGGACCCGGTACGCCTTGTGCTGCTCGTGCCTGTGCTGCCCGTGCCTGTGCTGCCCGTGCCTGTGCTGCCCGTGCCTGTTGCTGCCCGTGCCTGTGCTGCCCGTGCCTGTGCTGCCCGTGCCTGTGCTGCCCGTGCATGTGCTGCCCGTGCCTGTTGCTGCCCGTGCCTGTGCTGCCCGTGCCTGTGCTGCCCGTGCCTGTGCTGCCCGTGCCTGTGCTGCCCGTGCCTGTGCTGCCCGTGCCTGTTGCTGCCCGTGCCTGTGCTGCCCATGCCTGGTGCTGCCCGTGCCTGTGCTGCCCGTGCCTGTGCTGCCTGTGCCTGTTGCTGCCCGTGCCTGTTGCTGCCCGTGCCTGTGCTGCCCGTGCCTGTGCTGCCCGTGCCTGTGCTGCCCGTGCCTGTGCTGCCCGTGCCTGTGCTGCCCGTGCCTGTTGCTGCCCGTGCCTGTGCTGCCCGTGCCTGTTGCTGCCCGTGCCTGTGCTGCCCGTGCCTGTGCTGCCCGTGCCTGTGCTGCCCGTGCCTGTGCTGCCCGTGCCTGTTGCTGCCCGTGCCTGTGCTGCCCGTGCCTGTGCTGCCGTGTCTGTGCTGCCCGTGCCTGTTGCTGCCCGTGCCTGTGCTGCCCGTGCCTGTGCTGCCCGTGCCTGTGCTGCCCGTGCCCGTGCTGCCTGTGCCTGTTGCTGCCCGTGCCTGTGCTGCCCGTGCCTGTGCTGCCCGTGCCTGTGCTGCCCGTGCCTATTGCTGCCCGTGCCTGTGCTGCCCGTGTCTGTGCTGCCCGTGCCTGTGCTGCCTGTGCCTGTTGCTGCCCGTGCCTGTGCTGCCCGTGCCTGTGCTGCCCGTGCCTGTGCTGCCCGTGCGTGTGCTGCCTGTGCCTGTTGCTGCCCGTGCCTGTGCTGCCCGTGCCTGTGCTGCCCGTGCCTGTTGCTGCCCGTGCCTGTGCTGCCCGTGCCTGTTGCTGCCCGTGCCTGTGCTGCCCGTGCCTGTGCTGCCCGTGCCCGTGCTGCCCGTGCCTGTTGCTGCCCGTGCCTGTGCTGCCCGTGCCTGTGCTGCCCGTGCCTATGCTGCCCGTGCCTGTGCTGCCTGTGCCTGTTGCTGCCCGTGCCTGTGCTGCCCGTGCCTGTGCTGCCCGTGCCTGTGCTGCCCGTGCCTGTTGCTGCCCGTGTCTCGTGCTCGCGCCCCCGTGCGCTCTGCTACTGTCTGCGCCCTCGTGCGCACTGTCCCCCCCCCCCCCCCCCCCCGTATGCGGGTGTGGGGGTGCTCCGTTTGTGTCGCCCCTTCCTTCTCCTCCTTCGTCGTCTCCCACTGCTGCAGCTGTCGCTGAGGGGGGTGGTTGTGTGGGAGACTGGGGTTTAGGGTTTAAGGGGGGTGCGTGGGAGTGGAGCTAGGGGTGTAGCAGCGGGTGTGTGTCAGGGGGGTGGGACTGTTTGTGGGAGGTTGAGCGGAGGCTGCCGTCTTGTAGTCCGCAGCACCTGTAGTCCGGGGCGCTGTCCTGGTAGCCCAGTGAGCCTGCTGCGCCTGTCGCCCGTGGGTCCGTTGCTCCTGCCGCTCTTCGTAGCCGCCGAGCCAGTTACTCCAGTAGTCCGGGGCGCTGTCCCGGTAGCCACTGTGCCAGCCGCTCCTGTTGCCCGTGTGTCTGCAGCTTCAGCAGTCGCCTCCCATCTCCTCTCCTCTCACTCTCCCTCCTCCTCCTCACCTGCCCATTGTGACCACCACTAGCTTTGCTGATAATTGTGCACTTTAACTATTGCTTCTTGAACTTGTGCTCAGAATGTGTGGTGACATTGTGATCCACCCTGAGCTTGTACTGCTTTGCCTGCTCTGCTGATTTCACCCCACTTTGACTATGGGGGTGTGTCAGAATATATTTGCTGTCTAGCCTGCAGCGGGGTACTCTGTAATGAGTACAACCCAATTTAGGGCAATGTACTTGTATCCCACCTAACCCACTCGAACTTACCTATCTCCTAGTGTGGGCCTAGGCTACTAAGTCTAGGCCCCACACCTAATATTTTCACACTGGTTGCTTAAGACTATTACATTACAGAATCTCATGCAAATAGATGTAAAAAATGGCAACGAGATATTTGGCTTTGTCAATTTTGATGTTTTGTGTTTTATATGTATGAAACCCCTATAATGATGTTAAAAATACCTTAACACATCTTATTCAGGATTGAAACACTCTACGTGGCCTTTTTTTTCCCCCAAATGCACGAAAAATGGCTTGTAGCCACCATATTTATGTGTAAAACCAATTGAGATATGGTTTTCCAGCCTCCCCTAGGCCTACTCAACCAAATGGATAGAAAATAAAATCATTAGACTACTTTAAAAAAAACTTGAAACTTCATCATGTAACATCCATGTCTCTACTCAAACGGTTTTACCTCATTTGATGATCATTACAGCGTCACTCATAATGGTGTCATTAGAATGACACCTAAGTGGGTTCAGACCCTTCTCACGTCATTATTAACTCAGTGTTATGGTATAGAGAAACATTGGAAAATAAAAAAACTACGCAATGTCGAAACGACATCGTTTGCCGCCATGCGACAGATATAGAGTGTGAAACTATGAGCAGAGGAATGAATTGACTAAGTCAGAGTTGGGTACAAAATACAACCCTAGCAAACTGTACCCCATATGTGCTACCCCACTATAGCCTACAAACATGCATCAGCTATAATAATCTGACACACCCCCATAGGCAAAGTGGGGGAGAACAAGGGGTCACAAGACCAGTCAAGCAAAGCAAAACGAGCTCAGGGTGGATCACAAAGTCACCACACAGTCCGAGCACAAGAGCAAGGCCAGAGGCCAGTTCACATGCAGGAGTAAAGACATATATATAAAACTAGACAAGCAAGAGCAGGTATATATATGTCAAAGTACAAGTAAAGTCAAGAAGAGAGCAAGTGAGGCAAGACAGGTACAAGACCCAGCTGGGTACAAAAGCGCTGATGGTCGCAAGGCGCAAGTGCCTTGGTGAACACATCAGCAGTGTTGGCCTCAGAGGCCACGTAAGCAAGTCGCAACTGACCACGCTGCTGCAGCTCACGAGCAAGGAAGTAGCGGAGAGCAATGTGCTTCGTTCTGTGCTCCAAGCGCTGCTCTCGACACAAGGCCAACATGGCCTTGTTGTCTACGTACAGCACTGGAGGAGAACGAGGCAGCTCTCCAAGGTCAGTCAGCAGGTAGGTGAGCCAGCGAAGCTCCTGTGCAGCCATGGCCCCGGCGTAGATCTCAGCCTCACAACTGGAGCCGAGAACCGAAGACGAGCGAGTAGACCGCCACGAGACAGAGCCGGAACCAAGGCTGAAGGTGTAACCCTGTGACGACCGCTGCGTAGCCTGGTCGTCAGCCCAAGAAGCGTCTGCGTGCCCAGTAAGGACCACTGGACTCCGCCCTCCAAGCACTAGCCCCATGCCCGACGTACTGCACAGGTAGCGCAATACCCTCTTCGCTGCAGCCATGTGCTCTGGTCGGTGTCTCCCAGGAGCAACATAGCGTGCAAGGATGCTCAGAGGGTATGCAAGGTCAGGTCGAGTGCAGGTCATCAGGTACATGAGGCAGCCAACAAGCTCTGCATACGGACCACTCGACTCTACGGACTCATCCGAAGGCAGAGCTGAGAGTGAGTGGCGAGTAGGCAGAGGAGTGGCCTGAGGCGAGGAGTACGTGAAGCCGAAGCGCTGAAGGACCTGCTGCACCATGTGTGACTGAGTCAGGGTAATGGTGCGGCGTGCTCTGTCCCGAGTGATCTGCAAGCCAAGGTAGCTGCGCAGTTCACCCAGGTCTGTGCACGTGTGTCTCTTCAGCAGCTCGGACTTCACGTAGGCGAGTCCAGCAGTGTCCGCTGTGGCAAAGACCAAGTCGTCGACGTACACGAGGATGTAGAACGGCGGCAGGGAAGTGTCGGTGCGAAGAAACAGCGACGGGTCAGCAGTAGAAGGAGCAAACCCAAGAGCCGCAAGCGTAGTCCTCAGTGTGTCGTGCCACTCACGCGGTGCCTGGCGGAGACCGTAGACTGGCCGTCGGAGGCTCCACTGGGTGCCAGGAGGGAAAGTCCCAGTGAAGCCAGGCGGACGGCGCAGCCAGATCTCCTCGTGCAGGCTACCCTGCAGGAACGCAGTGCTGAAGTCGAGAGAGTGAAGCTCGTAGTCGCGCTGAGCGGCAATGTGCAGCAGCACCCGAAGAGTGGTCATCTTCGGGGTGGGAGAGAAGGTCTGAAAGTAGTCAACTCCCTGCCGCTGACTGAAGCCACGAGCCACGTAACGCGCCTTGAAGACAGGCGGCGAGCCCGGCGGCCGCTTCACCCTGAAGATCCACATGCCACTGACGATGTTCGCCCCAGGAGGGGGAACCGCGTCAACGTAGGTGCCTGTGGACTTCCAGGAAGCCATCTCTGCATCCATAGCTGCCTGCCACTGAGAGGAGTAGGGACCCTCTACGGCCTCCGCGTAAGAACGCGGAGTCGGGATGTCTAGTGCATCCGGGTCTCCCTCAGGGGCTAGCAGTACAGACGCGAGACGAGGTGAAGCAGCGGCTAGACACTGGAACTCCTCCTGCCTGTCCTCTAGGACGTCCGTGCCAAGGGCACACTCACCCCCGACGGACGGAGGACAGGCGGACTCAGACTCAGCGACAAGACGAGCAGCGTAGTCTAGACGACAGCGCGCAGCAAAGTCGACAAGCTCAGTGACAAGGGCAGACGCAGCAGACGACTCGAAGGAAGGGTCAGTGACAGCAGTAGCAAGGAGACGCGTGACAGTAGGACTGGCAGCACGAAGAGAGTCCGACTCCGGGTCGGCAAGAGCAGGAAGAGAGGAAGCAGGAGGAGAAGGCAAAGGGGCACGCAGAGGAGCAGTGGACGGACGCAGTGACATCCGGTGCGTGCCAGGGACAGGAGGAGGACGCTGACGCGACCCGCGACCACTAGCGCGCTCAGTACGAACAGGCGACGCAGGACGAGACGCAGGCTCACGACGCTCAGTAAGACCTCCAGTCGGACCAGCGTAGGGAGAAGGAGCAGGCAAAGGGGAGGCAGGCTGTAGCTGTGGCTGTGACCGGACAGGCTGCGGACCCTCTAAGGAAGGAGGAGGAGGTGTAAGACCAAGAACCTGCTGCAGGAGCGGAACGAAGTACGGTCGAGGCCGCGCGGCGACGCCAGAAACAGCAGGAACAGCACCAGCACCCCCGGCAGGAGCACCCACTCCAGCAGCACCTCCAGCAGAACCACCAGAAGCTCCAGAACCTCCAGCAGCAGCACCAGGAGCACCGTCAGTCGGACCACCAACCGTAGGCTCAGCGCCAACGTCCTCAGCAGGACCAGCTCCAGGAGAACACTCAGACCCAGCAGCTCCAGCACCCACAGGACGAGCACCGCCAGGTCGCGTGGCAGCAGCGCCCTCCGCAGCCGAAGAACCACCAGCACCAGCGGCACGCCTCCAGCGCCGGGCAAACCACTCACGCAGCTCCTGTGGAGAGAGCGGTCCCCGGTGAGACGAAGCACCCCCAGGCACAGCACCTCCAGGCTCGGCACCTCCCGGCTCAGCACCCCCAGGCTCAGTACCCCCAGACACAGCACCCCCAGGCACAGCACCCCCAGGCTCAGCACCCCCAGGCTCAGCACCCCCAGGCCCAGCACCCCCAGACTCCGCACCCCCAGGCTCAGCACCCCTAGACTCCGCACCCCCAGGCTCAGCTCCCGCAGCAGCACCGGAGTCACCAGTGACCTCGACAGGCTCGACCGCGTCTACCTGAGACACACCTGAAGGGGCAGGACCCTGAGGGGGGAGGGGGACTACTGGGGGGGGACCTGGAACCAAGAAGAGGGGGGGTGGGGGGAGGGACGGAGTGCGGTAGGGGAAGAGGCGGTAGTAGGGTACCGACTCGTCGAACGTGACGTCCGGGAGGACAGAACACGTCGAGAGGTGGGGTGGTAAAACTGCCACCCAGGGGCGTCGGGGGGGAACCCGAGGAAGACGCAGGGAGAAGCACGAGGGGACAGCTTGTCCGCAGACAGGTCGCGAACAAACGCCCGAGATCCCCAGACCCGGAACGCCGACGCATCGCCAACCTTCCCCGTCCACAACAGAGCTGGGGAGGTCTCCGGTCGAGAGACCCTGGGGTGGAGGTTGATCTGGTGCGCAGCGTACCTGACCGCAAACGGCCACAGAAAATGGGGAGCAGCCGCATGCATCATGGACGTACGAGCGACGTCCATGACCATGCCAATGCGGCGCTCAGCGATCCCATTCTGCTGTGGTGAGTCCGGAAGCGTGAAGGTCTGACGGATGCCTCGCACACGACAGTAGG